GGATAGTTGGCCAATCAGAGCACACCTCGCTTTTCAGAACGATTAGCTTTGTAAAAATCGACGCGTTTCAGAAAGGCGGGGCATAGAGGAGAAACAATAATGTACAGTATGTGGAAAATAATGTGTTTTTTGAACCTTAAACCGCATAAACACATTTCATTACACCAAATACACAAAATAATGTTCTTTTTAGCAACATCATATGACCCCTTTAAAGCAGTGTATAAAACGTAAAAAAATTGTTTAGTTTATGTAATTTAAAGGAAAGTATAAAGTACCTGTGAGAGCTGGCGCTCATCCTTCTGCTGAAGAAAGAGTAAAGGTGACTCACCATGCCACAAGGGGACGATTGGCATGATGGATAGAAAGGTCATGGTGTGATTTAGGAGAAGGGGAGGAGGGTTTGCTTGTCTTTCAGCAGAATCCTCATGGGGCTCTTTTGCACTCGCTTTCTATCTTATATTCACTCTCTTCTTGTCCTTACTCTTCATTCTCTCTCGTTCTCGCTCGCTGTAGCTTTAAACCTGCTGACTGATGTTTTACAGTAAATTGAGTTGATGAATGAAAAGTGAACCTTGGACATGCTTAATCTTCCTTCACTCCTGCCCATCTGAAGGAGTGATGCATGGCAAAGAATGAGAGCGAGACGGAAGTGTGCAGGACTTAAAATCTCTGCTCCTCCGGGGCCAGTCTGACACGTTTGGTTTGTTCAGTGCTTTCTTCTTGTTGAATGTGGGCAGAAGAGGGAGAGAAAATGAGTGTGTCTATGTCCTTGTGGGGGATGAGAAAGAGACACAGTGGACTTGTTCAACATGGTTTTTAAATTAGTACAAATGGAGTGTGGATGGAGGATAAAAAATAAAGAGAAAAAGAGGAGTAAGGAGAGAGGATATATATATTTTATATAAAAATATCACAGTTTACACAAAAATATTCAGCAACACAACAGTTTTCAACATTGATAATAGTAAGAAATGTTTTTGAGCACCAAATCAGCATATTAGAATGATTAGGAAACATGAGACACTGAAGACTGCAATGGCAGCTGAATTTTGTTTTCCAATCACACTAATAAATAATTTTTTACATATATAAAAATAGAAGATAGTTATTTTTAATTGTATTACTTTCTCTCTCTCTCTCTCTCTCTCTCTCACACACACACACACACATACATACAGTATATATATATATATATATACACACATGTACACATTCAGAACTCATTCAGTGCAGAAATTCATTAAAAGAGTCAGTTCATATGAGTCATTTGCTCATTAATCAGCTCAATTGTCCATGAATAGAGACACTCCTTGCGTTGTATTTCTTTAAAGTGGTCCTATAATGCTCTTTTACAAAGTCTTGATTTAGTTTTGGGGGTGTGCTAGAACAGGCTCTCATACTAGGTTGTTCGAAAAACACATTATTTTTCACATATTTTACATTATTACAACACCTCTCTCCCCAGTCTGGCATGAACGGCTTGAATAGTTCCTGTATCAAATGAAGGCCCGCCTTCTGAAATACGAAATGTGCTGTGATTGGTTAGCTGGGACAGTGTGTGTTGTGATTGGCACCACTCGGCGCCTGGTCGGGAAATGTCACGCCCCTTACCATAGCCGCCTGCGAGCTGAAAAGTGATTTCTGTTAAATAAAATATCTCCTTTTGAAGTGGACTTTGAGCTTTGTAACTTTGCAGATCTTTTTTTGCTCAAACAGCAACATTACAGACTAACTAATGTTGAAAAAGTGAAAAAGCATAGTAGGACTTCTTTAACAGGCTGCTCACAAACACAACTCAACAGAAAGATGTGTTTTCTTGCTGTTATTTCAAGGTACATATTTTGGGATCCATGTTGAGCTATACTGTATATATTACTGTACTCAGTTTTACTGTATTGTAACTATTTAGTTACAATAAATACTCAGTTTACAGTAAAACTTGTATGACATATGTGACCCTGGACCATAAAACCAGTCATAAGGGTCAATTTTTCGAAATTGAGATTTATACATCATCTGAAAGTTGAATAAATAAGTTTTCCATTGATGTATGGTTTGTTAGGATAGGACATGAATAAATGAGCTTTCCATTGATGTATGGTTTGTTATGATATGATAAAAAATCTAAATATTGAGAAAATCGCCTTTAAAGTTGTCCAAATGAAGTTCTTGGCAATGCATATTACTAATCAAAAATGAAGTTTTTATTTATTTACGGTAGGAAATTTACAAAATATCTTCATGGAACATGATCTTTACTTAATATCCTAATGATTTTTGGCATAAAATAAAAATCAATAATTTTGACCCATACAATGTATATTTGGCTATTGCTACAAATATACCCCAGCGACTTAAGACTGGTTTTGTGGTCCAGGGTCACATATATATAATTTTTGTGTGTTGGTATAGATATGCATTTGAGAGTTAACTGTCTGTGTTTACCTTTCTGTGCAGAGTGAATTTCCTCACATGGCCCAGTTCTCCAGTCTGTCTCCCATCCCTGGCTTCTCCTTATGGCTACAAGGTGCTCTCGGTCAGCACAAGAAGGAGGGACGTGCCATAGAGCTCCTGTCTGAGCAGGAGTGGAGGGAGGTGGAGGATGTGACGGGAGCCGCCCCCGGTGCCCCAGCTCTGGAGGCCCTGCGTAGGCTCATCAGCACCAGCGAGTGGATCCGCTCCGACCGCCTTGTCCGCGCTCTGGAACCTGCGCTAATGCGGCTCTGCACCTGGTATCTGTACGGAGAGAAACGGCGGGGCTACGCCCTAAACCCTGTGGCCAACTTCCATCTTCAGAACGGCGCCACCATGTGGAGGCTGAACTGGCAAGCGGACACAAGCCCGCGAGGGATCGCCAACTCTTGCGGCATAATGGTTAATTATCGCTACTTTTTACAAGAGACCAGCACTAACAGTGCCGCCTACCTGCAGAATAAAGTCATCAAGGCTTCGGAGCAGGTGCTGGGACTGGTGTCGCAGTTCCAGAAGAACAGCAAACTCTGAGTCAAATCTGTGGCTCTGCATTGGGACAAAATGTGTTGGGACTCAAATAAATTTTTATCATTTTTGATAACTCTGATCTGCACAGGGTGGACAAACACAATGAAGATTTAAACAAGCCTTATGTGGATCTACGGCTGAAACCAGCAAGCCACATTTCATTGTTAGTTCAGAGATGGACAGTTGTACTCTGCCTTTCTGAAAGATAATAATCCAATAAATCCAATTTTAAAGGGATAGTTCACCCCAAAATGAAAATTCTGGCATCATATACACACACACCCTCAAGTTGTTCCAAACCTGTATGACTTTCTTTCTTCCTTAGACAATCGTCCTGCAGCTTTTTCATCCAGCAGCAGTTCACAATGACAACATAATGTCATAGATAAAACATTATTAAAAGTATTAAAATAGTCCATATGATTTATCCATTATATTCTGTGAAGCCATACAACATTTTGTGAAGAATAAATAGAAATTTAAATAATTATTTGCTCTCAAATTGTTCATGCAAATCGTTTATGAATATTTAGCAGTTAGCACTTCTGGCACAGGTTTGATGTCATTACGTGCAAGAACCAATGACATTTGATGCTATTGGTGCCCAACCTGAATATTTGATTTGTGAGCATTGATGACTTAAATAGCTTGTTTTATAATATTAAGCTATCTTAAGAATACTTTAAGTATAGTACACAAGTTATACGGACCACTTTCTTTTATGAACTTCATCACTACTGTTGTATATGTAGTACACATATATAACTTGACTATAGCCTATATTTTGAGACGGACTTCTCTGATAATAATGACAAATTGCAGTTTTGTATGCAAGTCAGAAGTTTATTCAGTATTCTGAAAGATTCAGAGTTCATTCAATGATGGAATGGTTCAATCCGTAAATTCATGTGGTTGACTGTTTTTGAGTGATTCTTTAAAAAGAATCAGTTCTTAAGAGTCATTTGCTCATGATTCAGCATTTGTTCAGAAATCAAGATACTCATTGTATGTTTTAGGATTTTGGGATCTGATAACTATGTAAAAACTATTAAATATATGCAATTCAACTATAAAACATAAAATAAAATACGTATAAAACAACATACAGTTTGACATGAGGGGGAGTAAATGATGACAGAATATTCATTTTAAGTGAACTATCCTTTTATCACATTTACTATTATTACCCAGCATGTTGCTTGGTGATGTTACAAAGAGATTTTACTTAAATTTTTTTTAAGGTGTGCCAACTCTCCACTAATTTCAATCAAGAAAAGGATAATCGCCCAAATGAATCTATTTTTCGTCTTTTCAGCAGCGCTTGAGCCTCTGTTTGATTAGCCGGTTGCTGATTTTGATGTAGATTTATGCTATACTTTGAAAGACTGGGGGTAATGAAGCGGAAAGAATCTATCAGCCTCTGTCATGTCTTTGACTTCTCAGCATGTCTACGTAAGAGAGCGTTCCAGCGCGACTGAGTTGAAGCTGCTGTAATAAATGATGTTTTGATTGCTTCATTAGCGTGATCTGATTCACTGTGAAACGGCTGTCTGTATGTTCAAGTCTCTGCGTAAATGTGTCTCAGTGTGCCAGCTAAAAATGTTTATTTCTGAATTAAAATTCTGCTTATCTTCCAAAAACTGATTCTTTCTTTTGTTTCCATTGTAAACATGATGTACTATCTCGGCGGTTTGATCAATTTTGGGCAATGGAGGATGTTCAAACGTTTTTTGAAGTTAACACAGGACAGTAAGCTATCTCGTTGGGCCAGATCCTATCACATTTGGACAGATCCGTTCCTTGGCGGTTTAACTGGCGGTGTTTAAAGAGATTTAGCACTCTCCAGCAAGCATTTTATTCCTCCATGACTGCTGTCTCTAGTGTCTGATAACAGACTGCAGTGTTCAAGTAGGCCTCCTGTCTTTTTTTCCCTCCATTGTTGTGTAAAGTATCTCAGTGTAAGTTGACTGTGAAATTGCATTTTTACTCTCAAAGGAGGCACACATCTTCCCTCCCCCGTCCCTCCGTGCGATGCCCTAGAAACTAATGAAGTGAGAAATAAAGTTAAAATGATGATAAATTTATGATATTCACTTAAACTGAGCACGGGGTGGAAACAGAACAAAGCGGACAATGTTTAAAGGATGCCCTTGAGAAACTCTTCCCACAGTGAGGGAGGAAGTGAGGAAAACACATCTGTAGTCACAGGCCCAAGGCTGGATGGACATACAACATCAAGCGCTTTACTGTGAGGCAAATACATGAGGTTACCATGGCAACTGCGTAGTGTAGCATCCACAATATGGTTCAAACACAGTTCATTTGTCCTCTTCGGATTAGTTTTGCCCAAAAGCTGAGGCTTGTTTAGTAGAAAATATGTGTCTGTTTTGCACTATTTACATGGTTTTAAGATATTTCAAGTGAAACTGAAAGGCTTTTCGTTTTTCGCGTCTCACAAAAACATAATGGATCAGGAAATGAGGTGTAAAGAGTCCTGATGTTTATAGCCATTCATGAAGAGACTTTTCTATACAAGTAAAATGAAAACCCAGCATTGTTATGAGCCTCAAAATGGAAAGGAACAAGAATTCAGTTGGAGATTATGACCTGATAAATTTGTTTACTGTGTAGTAAGGCTACTTGAAAAAGATGCATTTTGAGGACTTACAGGACGACTCTAGGGAGGACTAAAGGTGTTGCTCATCAAAGACACATTTGTATTCAAGCTTTACAAGCCTCAGGTACTTGTTGGTATTCATACCACGCTGCTGTCACACACACACACACATACACACACACACACACATACACACACACAGAGATGATAAACTGCTAATTTTGTAAGCTGTTATTGAAGAAAATGTGACCATTAGCGCGAGTCTCCAAGCAAAATCCACTGGCAGTTCAAAGTACCAACAATAATAATTTCAATAAACTGTGACTCTAATTCAAAGTAACAATTTTTTATAACAATAACAATAACAAAGCTTTTAAAGTCTGCAGTACAGATCTCACATGAACTAGAAAGCATTATAAGTCTACAAGCATTTTATTTGTAATGATTAACGTTAGTTCCTTGGCCGTTTAACAAGCGGTGTTTAAAGAGATTTAGCACTCTCCAGCAAGCATTTTATTCCTCCATGACTGCTGTCTCTAGTGTCTGATAACAGACTGCAGTGTTCAAGTAGGCCTCCTGTCTTTTTTTCCCTCCATTGTTGTGTAAAGTATCTCAGTGTAAGTTGACTGTGAAATTGCATTTTTACTCTCAAAGGAGGCACACATCTTCCCTCCCCCGTCCCTCCGTGCGATGCCCTAGAAACTAATGAAGTGAGAAATAAAGTTAAAATGATGATAAATTTATGATATTCACTTAAACTGAGCACGGGGTGGAAACAGAACAAAGCGGACAATGTTTAAAGGATGCCCTTGAGAAACTCTTCCCACAGTGAGGGAGGAAGTGAGGAAAACACATCTGTAGTCACAGGCCCAAGGCTGGATGGACATACAACATCAAGCGCTTTACTGTGAGGCAAATACATGAGTTTACCATGGCAACTGCGTAGTGTAGCATCCACAATATGGTTCAAACACAGTTCATTTGTCCTCTTCGGATTAGTTTTGCCCAAAAGCTGAGGCTTGTTTAGTAGAAAATATGTGTCTGTTTTGCACTATTTACATGGTTTTAAGATATTTCAAGTGAAACTGAAAGGCTTTTCGTTTTTCACGTCTCACAAAAACATAATGGATCAGGAAATGAGGTGTAAAGAGTCCTGATGTTTATAGCCATTCATGAAGAGACTTTTCTATACAAGTAAAATGAAAACCCAGCATTGTTATGAGCCTCAAAATGGAAAGGAACAAGAATTCAGTTGGAGATTATGACCTGATAAATTTGTTTACTGTGTAGTAAGGCTACTTGAAAAAGATGCATTTTGAGGACTTACAGGACGACTCTAGGGAGGACTAAAGGTGTTGCTCATCAAAGACACATTTGTATTCAAGCTTTACAAGCCTCAGGTACTTGTTGGTATTCATACCACGCTGCTGTCACACACACACACACATACACACACACACACACACACACAGAGATGATAAACTGCAAATTTTGTAAGCTGTTATTGAAGAAAATGTGACCATTAGCGCGAGTCTCCAAGCAAAATCCACTGGCAGTTCAAAGTACCAACAATAATAATTTCAATAAGCTGTGACTCTAATTCAAAGTAACAATTTTTTATAACAATAACAATAACAAAGCTTTTAAAGTCTGCAGTACAGATCTCACATGAACTAGAAAGCATTATAAGTCTACAAGCATTTTATTTGTAATGATTAACGTTAACATGGAATGTCATGCAATTTTTTACGGGACTATCATTATGTGCTACTATTGCCGTAAACTAAATGATATTAATTTCAATCAGAATTAAATTGATAATTGATTATTTATTGATAATAATATTAACCAAACAGCTATTGCCTAACATTATTAACCCCATCTGTGCAGGAGAAAAGCAAGATTTAGAGCAAGTTATTACCTATTGGGACCGGGGGGAAAAGTCTGCATTTGTTTTATTAATGTACAGTATTTACCCATATTATTTTGAAAGGATTAAAAATACCTTATGATTTTAGTAGGAAAATATCATATACACAAGAAGAAATGGGCTCTTTGTAGACCTTCTTTTCAGTCTGGCAGGATTATTAATGTTGTAAATAATGTTCAATTCCTCTTATTCTCGTGTTACTAAATAAATCAAAATACTACATACTGACGAAAGTTGTTTTTTTTTTAAATGTAGACTAATGTGTTCTGAATTATGTACAATAGGTACTTGTCTTAAAACAAATGGGGCAAATCTGAATTCATGTTGATTGACATGTTCGTGTACATTCAAATGTTCAATACATTTGAAAATATGCATTGACATACTATATGTTCAGCTTTGTACAAAGTTTATTCTGAATCCCTGAGCAACAGTCTTGTTGAACAAATCATTACAGTGAATGATTCAATGACTCACTCATACAGTAAAGACAAGTCTCTTGTTTCCTGATGAATCAGTATTGTTGTACAAATTGCTTGAGTGATAATTCAATGACTGTACTTGTACAAGATACTGTACTTGTTTAGTTCCTGAATGAATCAGAGTTGTTAAGTGACTCAATTGAGTAATGAGTCAATCATTACTGATGTATGGATGGAACCTGCAAAAAGAGGCACTGAAAAAAACCCACCACTAATACACAAACTCTGTTTTAAACATGCAAACACAGACAAGCCTAGTGATACAAAGAAGAGTGAAAAGTCCCAGTGCTGTTGGACTGTAATAGACGCTTTTGGCTCACAGTTCCAGTGACTGGAACTAACTGTTACGTAACAAAAGTTATGTAATATAATGCTTTGTTAGGTATTAATACTGTATCACTTTAAAAGGCGTTAGTGATCTGCCTGTCCAGAATAGCAGCACTGGATCTAAACACAAGGCCTTCCAGACCTCAAAGAGCATCACATAGTGTCCTGGAAGATTCACCACAACATGTTAATCAACAAACCCACAGCTGCTAGCCAACCGCACATTAACATTTTAGTGCCCATTTGTTAATACGCAATTACAGGCAGGATGGATTAGGAGGCACTTTACACCCTTTTTAATGGCTGTGAGCTTGTCATTACAGTTAAGTAAAGCACATGCTGAACAATGTTGTATTGCCTTGTTGCAAATTTTCCAACGGCACATTTATCAATTTGCTGTTTGATTGCCATTCTTATGGATTCCACAT